GACTCGGTGCATTCTTGTCAAATAAATATGCTTATTCATTCATGATTATGGATACATTCTGCAATGAGTTAATCTGGCTTTGAAACGGCAACAGAACATGTCAACAAGTTAGTTTTGAATAGCTTTAACACAGCAGTGCATTCCGACACCATGAATTGAAATAGATTGCACTATAAAGGATTAAATATAGACCTCCACCGGCTGAAGGAGAAGAGGATCTGGTAAAAGAAAGGGTATGTTGCTAATAATCATCTAAGTAGGCAGGTGCTACTAGGATAGTATTCTGTAAAAGACACAAGTCCAAATGCATAAACAAGACAACAAATATTACTTCAATAAAATATGGAACAATAAATTAAAATGTTCAATATATATTTTGTTTTGGATCAAGGCTAGCAAATGTGTCAGCTAGAGATGACGTGCAGGAGCTTGCAGGGATTTGTAGTCTTGCACAGTGGTGGAAAAAGTACTTAATGTCATACTTGAGTAAAAATAAAGATATGTTAATAGAAAATGACTCAAGTAAAAGTGAAAGTCACCCAGTAAAATACTACTTGAGTAAAAGTCTAAAAGTATTTGGTTTTAAATACACTTAAGTATCAAAAGTAAATGGAATTGCTAAAATATACTTAAGTATCAAAAGTAAAAGTATTAATAATTTCAAATTCCTTATATTATGCAAACCAGTCAGCACAATTGTCTTTTTTTTTGGGGGGGGGGGGGCAGCCAGGGGCACACTCCAACACTCAGACATTAATTTACAAACAAAGCATTTGTGTTTAGTGAGTGCACCAGATCAGAGGCAGTAGAGATGAACAGGGATGTTTTCTTGATAAGTGCGTGAATTAGACCATTTTCCTTTCAAAATGTAACTAGTACTTTTGGGTGCCAGGGAAAATGTATGGAGTAAAAAGTACATTATTTTCTTTAGGAATGTAATGAAGTAAAAGTTATTAGTATATAGTAAAGTTAAATATAAATAGTAAAGTACAGATACCCCAAAAAACTACTTAAGTAGTACTTTCAAGTATTTTTACTTAAGCACTTTACACCACTGGTCTTGCATGATGTCTAATTTGATAAAAATTGATAAAGAAAGGTTTAAACAGTTATCAAAACATCATGCCAGGGAAAGCCTACATCAATCACATACCTTTTTTGATGTGGTTCTAAAATCCCCCATGGGAAAAATGAATGTTGAAAAAACGATTGGAACCATTTTCGTGTTTGACCGCTAGGTTTTATGGGTATTATGACACGTACACTGTGAGGCTCTATAGGTTCCATGTCTTATTGTTGATGTTTGATGGCAGACTGTAATACCTACGGAACAGTGGCGGTTGGTGCCGTTTAAGATGAGGGAGAACTATTTTTGTTTTTATGAGCATGGCCTTATTTCTATTACAGCATAGAAAGTCACCGGGTTCATCAATAACTGCATCGACGACGTCGTCCCCACAGTGACCGTACGTACAGTACATATCCCAACCAGAAGCCATGGATTACAGGCAACATCCACCCCGAGCTAAAGGCTAGAGCTGCCGCTTTCAAGGAGCAGGACACTAATCCGGACACTTACAAGAAATCCCACTATGCCCTCAGATGAACCATCACACAGGCAAAGCGTCAATACAGGACTAAGATTGAATCTTACTACACCGGCTCTGATGCTCGTCGGATGTGTCAGGGCTTGCAAACTGGGAAACCACAAAGGGAAACCCAGCCGCGAGCTGCCCAGTGACGTGAGCCTACCAGATGAGCTAAATGCCTTTTACGCTTGCTTCGAGGCAAGCAACACTGAAGCATGCATGAGAGCACCAGCTGTTCCGGACGACTGTGTGATCACGCTCTCCGTAGCCGATGTGAGCAACACCTTTAAACAGGACAACATTCACAAGGCCGTTGGGCCAGACGGATTACCAGGACGTGTACTCAGAGCATGCGCGGACCAACTGGCAAGTGTCTTCACTGACATTTTCAACCTCTCCCTGACAGAGTCTGTAATACCTATGTTTCAAGCAGACCACCATAGTCCCTCTGCCCAAGAAAGCGAAGGTAACCTGCCTAAATGACTACCACCCCGTAGCACTCACATCGGTAGCCATGAAGTGCTTTGAAAGGCTGGTCATGGCTCACAACACCATCATCCTGGAAACCCTAGACCCACTCCAATTCGCATACCGCCCCAACAGAGCCACAGATGACGCAATCTCAATCGCACTCCACACTGCCCTTTCCCACCTGGACAAAAGGAACACCTATGTGAGAATGCTGTTCATTGACAACAGCTCAGCGTTCAACACCACAGTGCCCACACTAAGCTAAGGACCCTGGGACTAAATACCTCCCTCTGCAACTGGATCCTGGACTTCCTGACGGGCCGCCCCCAGGTGGTAATGGTAGGCAACAACACATCTGCCATGATGACCCTCAACACGAGAGCCCCCCAGGGGCGCGTGCTTAGTCCCCTCCTGTACTCCCTGTTCACCCATGACTCCAACACCATCATTAAGTTTGCTGATGACACAACAGTGGTAGGCCTGATCCCCGACAACAATGAAACAGCCTATAGGGAGGAGGTCAGAGACCTGGCAGTGTGGCCGGACAACAACCTCTCCCTCAACGTGAGCAAGACAAAGGAGCTGATCATGGACTACAGGAAAAGGAGGGCCGAACACACCGACATTCACACCGACGGGACTGTAGTGGAGCTGGTCGAGAGTTTCAAGTTCCTTGGTGTCCACATCACCAACAAACTATCATGGTCCAAACACACCAAGACAGTCATGAAGAGGGCAAGACAACACCTTTTCCCCCTCAGGAGACTGAAAATAATTTGCATGGGTCCCCAGATCCTCAAAAAGTTATACAGCTGCACCATTGAGAGCATCCTGACCGGTTGCATCACCGCATGGTATGGCATCTGCTTGGCATCCGACCGTAAGGCGCTACAGAGGGTAGTGCGTACGGCCCAGTACATCACTGGGGCCAAGCTTCCTGCCATCCAGGACATATATACTAGGTGGTGTCAGAGGAAGGCCCAAAAAATTGTCAAAGACTCCAGTCACCCAAGTCATAGACTGTTCTCTCTGCTACCGCACGGCAAGCGATACCGGAGCGCCATGTCTAGGTCCAAAAGGCTCCTTAACAGCTTCTACCCCTGCTGTTTATTTTCTATGCATTGTCACTTTACCCCTACCTACATGTACAAATTACCTCGACTAACCTGTACCCCTGCACATTGACTTGGTACCAGCATCCATTGTATATAGCCTCAGTATTGTTATTTTATTGTGTTACTTTTTATTTAGTAAATATTTTCTTAACTCTATTTCTTGAACTGCATTGTTGGTTAAGGGCTTGTAAGTAAGCATTTCACGGTAAGGTCTACACCTGTTGTATTCGGCAGATGTTACAAATACAATATGATTTGAGTATATTGGATGACTCATTCATATTCCATTCACCCAGCTGAATGTAACATATATAGGTTTAGGCTACTTACTACATGATACTCAAATTTTCCCAATACCCATCATGAGGTTGCTACAACCTAGCCTATGAATGAAAGTTTACAACGTAGGTTGAGAGAAATTTGAGTAATCAAGGTGACAGACAATGACACATTCAATACCGCCTTGCACAATCTTGCCTGCATCTAGCTGATCTAGGGTGTAATCATTAGTCCAACAGTTGCAAACAAGAGTTCCTATAGGACAAATTCAGGTAGTTTATCCCCGTTTCGTTCCGTTTGATCTGTTTTTTAAACGTTTTTCAACAGAATCACCCCTGATCACACGCAAACACAGTTCACTTTCATAGCAGCCAGATCATTGTATAATTCCGTCTCGTATCTACGCGCTCTCCTCCTCTCACCTTTTGCCTCGCTTTTGGACTTCAGTGCACAATACATCAGTTGCCTGTCACCAGGCGAAAACATCTTTCCAAGCCAAACCTTCATATCACAACCGCTACACACAGTCTACATCGTTGTGACCATATTAGCTAACGGCAAGTCAACAACATAGCTAATAGAACTAATGCGTTAGTAAACCCACTACAATCATGCAGTACAGTGTACAGTTAGCAAGCAGTTTAGCATTTAAACACCGGCGGGTCCCGGTGGCACAAACCTTACCTTGACTTGGAAGTATTCCAGTGTTGAATAGCCATAGTCAGCTAGGTAACATAGCATCCCTCTCTGTTTGACCTGGGTGTTTGAGTAGTCTAAACTATCTAGCTGCATTCGCTAGCTAAGTAAGTACATTTACTAAATATAGCTAGCTCATTTTGAAAACATTAATTTGGGGGAGAAGTGAAGACAGTAGCCTAGCGTTAGAGATTAGTTATACGAAGTAAACATCAACCTACAAACATGTCTGATGACTAAATACTTGCGAGTGATGAAGAAAACTACTGGAGGGGCGCAGATGGTGTCGTCGAACCATATTTATTTCAGCCCGAGTATTGTGATGAAGAATTCAGGCCAATGCAGACTCATGAAGAATGCAGCAGAGAATTTGATTACATGACTCCAACTTATTGATGATGAGGAGCAGCTAGTTTCCTTTCGTGACCACTGGGATTTTGCTGCCGACATCAACTCTGGTGTCCTGGAATTTATTTCCATATCCCAAAAAGAAATTGGAGACACAACCCAGTTCCAGCTGGGCCAAATGGACAGTTATCCAACAAGTAAGTAGCTGAACTTTACTTTATTGAATGATCACTTAACACAAACCTGGACCGTTGTGGGTTTATGTTTTTACATTAGCCAAACACTGTCAAGATATGTTTTCACATTATCACAACGTTTTTGGCATCTGTTATTTGAGTAGGATATAGGAAATATAGGTAATATAGGCCTACACATTGAACTTGAAATAACAGCTAAATCTAAGAACAGCAAAAAATTACCTGTTTTCATATTGTCAAAAATGTTATATGTTATAAGTACATGGCTGCTGCTCCAGATTCTCAAATCCACTTTGCCCTTTGATCTATAATTGTAATTCGATACAGTTCAGACTGGTCCCATACCGCATTGTTTTGGAGTGGGTCCTCCGCGGTGAGACACTGGGTCCAGGAGTCCGGATTCCTCTCCTATCCTGTGTGGTAAATGCCATCTGAGTTAAATATCCATCGCCTTATGGGGTCTACACTGGCTTTCAGGAAGTGAAAGACTCCCAGGACTTGTGAATAGTCAAAGTTACAGGTATGTGATGCTCCCAGCCTGTGATGTGTGTTTTGTGTCAGGTTAGGTACTGTGACTGCAAAAATAAAGAATATCTATGAAAATGGACCAACAAAGCAAGTATTGTTGTTTTTATAATATATTTTTAGTCACAAAAAATGTAATACAAAACATTCAAGCATTGTTTGTTCCCACTAAACTCCCCTAGCATAACTTTATATTACATGCGTGATACATTTTATAATAAAAATACATATTTAAAGTCAATTGGGTTTATGCATTCATTTAAGTTCTTCAAGTACTTGTGGCAGTTGTTCGCTGCCCACATTTTCATTGTTATACAGTGCATTCGGAAAGTATTCAGACCCCTTCCCTTTCACCACATTTTGATACGTTACAGCCTTAATCTAAAATTGATTACATTACATTTTTTCCTCATCAATCTACACAAAATACCCCATAATGACGAAGCGAAAACAGTTCTCTATAAATGTTTGCCAAATACAGGTGTGCCAAGCTTGTAGCGTCATACCCAAGAAGACTCAAGGCTGTAATCGCTGCCAAAGGTGCTTTAACAAAGTACTGAGTAAAGGGTCTGAATACTTATGTGAATGTGATATTTCCGTATTTATTTTTAATACATTTGCAAAAATGTCTAAAAACCTGTTTTTGCTTTGTCATTATGGGGTCTTGTGTGTAGATTGATGAGGGGAAAAAAACAATTTAATCCATTTTAGAATAAGGCTGTAACGTAACAAAATGTGGAAAAGTCAAGGGATCTGAATACTTTCCTAATGCACTGTGTGCCAAATGATTATTGTTATCTGTATTGACAAAGAAAAACTTCCAAGTCAACTGATACCATGTTTACTAACCTGTAAAACTTTTTTGTTATGGCCATAATGCTAAAAGTAATTATGTTGTTAGGATACTCATGACCCCTATCGACAGTGGGGGTTACAAATAAGTAATAAACCACACTATGGGTAATCCTATACCCCAGGTGGTTCCTGGAGCAAGGTATTCCTTGTAACTCTGTGTTGTTGTTGTTTTTATCGCACTGCTTTGCTTTATCTTGGCCAGGTCACAGTTGTAAATGAGAACTTGTTCTTAACTGGCCTACCTGGTTAAATAAAGGTTAAATTAAAAATTGAGAAAATTCCACAAAAGGCTATACAGTTGCCTGAAATGTTGTCATGCAAATAAGCCATGGCTAGCCAATACATCAGACATTGGCAAAAGGTGTGAAAATATTCAGTAGGCAACATCAACTCACATGGGTGCCAGAGGAGCTTGCTGCTTCTTGGTCCTTTGAAGACCAATCTATTGAGGCCTGAACCTGCGAGTGAGATCGGGAAATTGACCTCACAGTTATGTGACACAATGGGAGTTCATGATACATACAATTTTAAACGTGAAAGGTATTGATAGTTGATATAGTATGGGTTATATGTAAAATTATTATTGTTATGTGTATTGACAAAGAAAAACTTAGATCCTAATACACAAGTGTAACGTGATACCATGTTTATAATCTGTAATGCATTTTTCTATGCCCATGGGTCTAAATGTAAATGTATTGTTAGGATTCACATGGCCACTATCGACAGGGGGAGGTGAGGGTTACAAATACACAATAGACCGCACTATATGCAACCAAATAGACCTACCCCATGTATTTCACACAAGGCTATACCGTTGTTAAAAGCATGAAATGTTGTCATGCAGATAAACCATGAATAGCCAACACATCAGACACTGTAGATTATGATTATTTAAAAAAGTGAGTAGACCTGATTCTAAGTAATTAAAATGCAACAACACCTTTCATTTTTATTCTGTCTATTCTGCAATGTAAGATGACACAATTACTGTCTTATCTCCTCAACCCCATGTCATAAAGACAGGGCACATATGCTAACCGGTAGAGTGCCTAGGCTATTTCTACATGATATGGTGCAATAGTTACAACACAATAAGATCAACTCTAACTGCAATGATTAGGCTACATACCTCCACATGCTCGCTTTGACGCTTTCTCTTCTGAAACGCGCCTCTGTATTTTGGCACGGCGCCAGATCCAGTCCATGGGAATACAGAAGGAACAGCTGTGTCTGAGTTTTCTTCAGTGTTTTGTTCCCATCATTTCCGATTGTATATCTCATTCGTAGTCATCGTCGACGAAGTGCTTACTACACACACGTAGGTTTGCAAGATTGGCTGTAGGAATGTTTACTGTTTTTTTAATGCTACTTCTTCTGCATCTCTCTGTATCTTTCAACGGAAAACAGTGACATCTGCCTTCTTCCCAGATTTCCTATATAAAGTGCAGCCAGGGACCGAACACCAGCTTGCTCTTGCTGCCATCTCTTCAGATTTCCATTATTCATTGCTAACTTTAAGGTTCCTTTGATAAGTCTTCCAACTTTTGCGCCAGCTCCTTTGCCCCCGCATAAAACTCGCATCTACGACGTCAAGCCCCAAATAAGGGCATATACAGTACCAGTCAAAAGTTTGGACACACCTACTCATTTCAGGGTTTTTCTTTATTTTTTACTATTTTCTACATTGTAGAATAATAGTTAAGACAGCAAAACTATGAAATAACACATGGAATCATGTAACCAAAAAAGTGTTAAACAAATCCAAATATATTTTATATTTGAGATTCTTCAAAGTAGCCACCCTTGGCCTTGATGACAGCTTTGCACACTCTTGGCATTCTCTCAACCATCTTCGTGAGGTAGTCACCTGGAATGCATTTCAATTAACAGGTGTGCCTTCTTAAAAGTTAATTTGTGGAATTTCTTTCCTTCTTAATGCGTTTGAGCCAATCATTTGTGTTGTGACAAGGTAGGGGAGGTATACAGAAGATAGCCCTATTTGGTAAAATACCAAGTCCATATTATGGCAAGAACAGCTCAAATAAGCAAAGGGAAATTACAGTCCATCATTACTTTAAGACATGAAGGTCTGTCAATCCGGAAAATTTCAAGAACTGTGAACGTTTTTTTCAAGTGAAGTCGCAAAAACCATCAAGCGCTATGATGAAACTGGTTCTCATGAGGACAGCCTCAGGAAAGGAAGACCCAGAGTTACCTCTGCTGCAGAGGATAAGTTCATTAGAGTTAACTGCACCTCAGATTGCAGCCCAAATAAATGCTTCACAGAGTTCAAGTAACAGACATCTCAACATCAACTGTTCAGAGGAGACTGCGTGAATCAGGCCTTCATGACACTAGACCGGTAAAAATCTGTCCTTTGGTCTGATGAGTCCAAATTTGACATTTTTGGTTCCAACCGCTGTGTCTTTGTGAGATGCAGAGTAGGTGAACGGATGATCTTCGCATGTGTGGTTCCCACTATGAAGCATGGAGGAGGTGGTGTGATGGTGCTTTGCTGGTGACAGTGTCAGTGATTTATTTAGAATTCAAGGCACACTTAACCAGCATGGCTACCACAGCATTCTGCAGCGATACGCCCTCCCATCTGGTTTGCGCTTAGTGGGACTATCATTTGTTTTTCAACAGGACAATGACCCAAAACACACCTCCAGGCTGCGTAAGGGCTATTTGACCAAGAAGGAGAGTGATGGAGTGCTGCATCAGATGACCTGGCCTCCACAATCCCCCGACCTCAACCCAATTGAGATGGTTTGGGATGAGTTGGACCGCAGAATGAAGGAAAAGCAGCCAACAAGTGCTCAGCATATGTGGGAACTCCTTCAAGATTGTTGGAAAAGCATTCCTCATGAAGCTGGTTGAGAGAATGCCAAGAGTGTGCAAAGCTGTCATCAAGGCAAAGGGTGGCTACTTTGAAGAATCAAAAATATAAAATATATTTTGATTTGTTTAACACTTTTTTGGTTACTACATGATTCCATATGTGTTATTTCATAGTTTTGATGTCTTCACTATTATTTTACATTGTTGAAAATAGTACAAATAAAGAAAAACCCTTGAATGAGTAGGTGTGTCCAAACTTTTGACTGGTACTGTATGTCACAGAGTTTGCCCCACGAGAGCGCACATGCAGTTGTTGCCCATCTCCGCTGTTGTTGCTGTCGGCCACATAAAATAATTATTTAAAATAATCTCAATCATTTTAGGTGGAAAAGTACACATTTCCTGACTCAAAACCAATGGTACTTTTGATAAAAATAGCTAATTCGGCCATATACCTTCAATAAAACAAATAATTTTCTCAATCACTTGTTGACTAACAACATAGCAGAGCTAGCAGTGCACAAAGATACGTCACGAGTCACGTGACACGCTTTTGTAGCTTTCCAGTTCTAGACCACAGGGAGAGAGAGGGAGAAGGAAAACTCAACCAAAGTAGTTTCAAGGTATGGAATCACTTGGGGAATTTGGAATTTTAGGTAAACTTCTCCTTTAATAAACTGATTGACTGCCATGACTGACAGTAGACTGACCTGGATGCCACTGTGGATGAATCCCCTGCGGTAGCGGGCTGGTCTGAGGTGGGGATACTCCTCTGTGCTGGTCACCTTGATGCCCCACACTGACTTCCAGGCCTCGTACAGCTGGCTGTGGACGGGGTAGACCCCCGAGTGGTGGGGGGCCACAGCATAGCCCATGTCTGTAGGAATCCCATGCTCCTGGAGGGGAAGAGGGGGTTGGGGTGGTGGGGATAGATAGAGAGAAAGATGGATGTCAGAAGTATCAGGGACAGGAAAGGACACCCAGAACAAATTGCAATAACAAACGTGATGAAATTGCCATTTTAATGAACCATGAATGAGTCACCGTCTGCTTCAAAACAAAAACACGCAGCAGAAAGAATTATGTGCAACTTCTCCACTGGAGGGCAACATAGCCCTGCTCGGTCTACACATCACTCTACACTGTAAAAAAGGCAACAGTCAGGAAGCTCAGCAGGAGCTTAAATCCTTTAGAGCAGGGCTCTCCAACCGTGTTCCTGGAGAGCTACCGTCCTGTAGGTTTTCATTCCAACCCTAATCTAGCACACCTGATTCTAATAATTAGCTGGTTGATAAGATGAATCAGGTTATATACAACTGGGGTTGGAGCAAAAACCTACAGGAGGATAGATCTCCCGGAACAAGGTTGGAGAGCTTTATAGACTAACACGAATGCATCAAACTGAATGTATAGTGTGGTACCGTGGCACTGTGCCCCTCGCTGGCAGAGTGCTGGGAATGCTTAAAGCTAGAATCCACAGTTGCTACATAAATATTTTACTTATAAATTGATCAATGATACCCATTGATTCTTGAAGAATATACAGTTGAAGTTGGAAGTTTACATACACTTTGGTTGGAGTCATTAAAACTTGTTTTTCAACCACTCCACAAATTTCTTGTTAACAAACTATAGTTTTGGCAAGTCGGTTAGGACATCTACTTTGTGCATGACACGTAATTTTTCCAACAATTGTTTACAGACAGATTATTTCACTTATAATTCACTGTATCACAATTCCAGTGGGTCAGAAGTTTACATACACTAAGTTGACTGTGCCTTTAAACAGCTTGGAAAATTCCAGAAAATGATGTCATGGCTTTAGAAGCTTCTGATAGGCTAATTTGAGTCAATTGGAGGTGGACCTGTGGATGTATTTCAAGGACTACCTTCAAACTCAGTGCGTCTTTGCTTGACATCATGGGAAAATCAAAAGAAATCAGCCAAGACCTCAAATGTCAGGTTCATCCTTGGGAGCAATTTCCAAGCGCCTGAAGGTACCACGTTCATCTGTACAAACAATAGTACGCAAGTATAAACACCATGGGACCACGCAGCCGTCATACCGCTCAGGAAGGAGACGCGTTCTGTCTCCTAGAGATGAACTCAATCCCAGAACAACAGCAAAGGACCTTGTGAAGATGCTGGAGGAAACTGGTATAAAACTATCTATATCCACAGTAAAACGAGTCCTATATCGACATAACCTGAAATGCCGCTCAGCAAGGAAGAAGCCACTACTCCAAAACCGCCATATAAAAGCCAGACTACGGTTTGCACATGGTGACAAAGATCGTACTTTTTTGAGAAATGTCCTCTGGTCTGATGAAACAAAAATATAACTGTTTGGCCATAATGACCATTGTTATGTTTGGAGGAAAAAGGGGGTATCTTGCAAGCTGAAGAACACCATCCCAACCGTGAAGCACGGGGGTGGCAGCATCATGCTGTGGGGGTGCTTTGCTGCAGGAGGGACTGGTGCACTTCACAAAATAGATGGCATCATGAGGAAGGAAAATTATGTGGATATATTGAAGCAACATCTCAAGACATCAGTCAGGAAGTTATAGCTTGGTCCCAAATTGGTCTTCCAAATGGACAATGACCCCAAGCATACTTCCAAAGTTGTGGCAAAATGTGTTTAGGACAACAAAGTCAAGGTATTGGAGTGGCCATAACAAAGCCCTGACCTCAATCCTATAGAAAATATGTGGGCAGAACTGAAAAAGCATGTGCGAGCAAGGAGGCCTACAAACCTGACTCAGTTACACCAGCTCTGTCAGGAGGAATGGGCCAAAATTCACCCAACTTATTGTGGGAAGCTTGTGGAAGGCTACCTGAAACATTTGACCCAAGTTAATCAATTTAAAGGCAATGCTACCAAATACTAATTGAGTGTATGTCTCCTGAGTGGCGCAGTGGTCTAAGGCACTGCATCGCAGTGTTAACTGTGCCACTAGAGATCCTGGTTCGAATCCAGGCTCTGTCGCAGCCGGCCGCGACCGGGAGACTCATGGGTGGCGCACAATTGGCCCAGCTTCGTCCAGGGTAGGGGAGGGAATGGCCGGCAGGGATGTAGCTCAGTTGATAGAGCATGGCGTTTGCAACGCCAGGGTTGTGGGTTTGATTCCCACGGGGGGCCAGTATAAAAAAAAGATGTATTCACTAACTGTAAGTCGCTCTGGATAAGGGCGTCTGCTAAATGACTAAAATTTAAATGTAAATGTGTATGTAAACTTCTGACCCACTGGGAATGTGATGAAAGAAATAAAAGCTTAAATAAATCATTCTCTCTACTATTATTCTGACATTTCACATTCTTAAAATAAAGTGGTGATCCTAGCTGACCTAAAACAGGGAATTTTTACTAGGATTAAATGTCAGGAATTTTGAAAAACGGAGTTTAAATGCATTTGGCTAAGGTGTATGTAAACTTCCGACTTCAACTGTAACTTATAAATGCCTCATGAGCTTAGTTCAACTGCTGTACCCCATCAGAACCCAGAATATAAGCTTGCTTGACACAACGTTAATGTATACAAACACTGTAGAATTTGGTTTGACATTCAATATCCCTTTGGGGCTAGTTGGGGACCATCAGTAAATTACACAATGTACATGGGACAATATTAACAAATTAACATTTTTATGACTTAAAAACCTCAAAACGACTATAAATTGTAGAAATTCATATACAAATATTGAAAGCATTTAATGAAACAACTAAAAGATGTGCAACATTAAATTATTGTCACATTTACATTGTGTCATTTATTTACGGTCCCTAACTAGCCCAACAGAGTATCCAAAGTCAAACCAACTTTGCCACGGTCGCACACCGGCCGGCTGAAGCCAATTGGCGAAAGAAGTTGGCTAGCTTGCTCATTGAGGCTCATTAAGCCGTGATGAAGGACCCTCTACCCTCTCTCTCCCCCCTGACCACTCAGAGACACGGTCCATCACTGTCAGCCAGCAAGGACAGCTGTATGGCAGCAGGGATTACTGAAAGGGGATAGTGCTGCTGGTCAGTATTCACCTCACACACACACCCACTGACACCGTCTGCTCCCTGGGCCCAGGCCCCTGACTCCCAATGCCACTCACTACATCAACACACAAAGCTGCCTTGGGGGCAGCATGCTTCTCACTACATCAACTACACCAACAAGGCAGCATTTGGGGCATCTTTAGCACTAATGTCTGCGAGCCATGTTACTGCACATTAAGGAAGGGTCTTATTTGACTTTTATTTGGCAGTTGGCCAAGTCCCCAGACTCTAACACACAAGCTGAAGCACAAGGATATTGGATAGTAGATATTATATATATATATATAGTGTACAACAGGAAGTACATCAGTGGTTTATTCATTGTGCATATGAAATGCCAATGTAATTGCTAACAAGAAATAATCCACAACGGCCAGCATCCAGGAATCCAATTACCACTCACCATTTGGATCAACAAGGCCATAACTACATGCCTAACCACAATGCGCTGAGGATAAGCATACTGTATACACGTCATCTTACCAGAGAGAGCTATAGTATGATTAGGATGCTTGATATCCACGGACGCCCACTCACCTGGGCAAACAGCATGTTGAGCCTCATTTGCTCAGCCAGCACGCTGACGTTGTGGAACAGGTGGGGCTGCATGTGACTCCACATGTGGGGGAACCACCAGAACTCCTTCCTGTGTCTTAGCAGCATGTCATCTCCCCAGTCCTCCTCGTCTGTGCCTGGGGGAGCAGAGGGGAGGGAGGAGAGGAGAGGGGAGGGAAGGAAATGAGAGTTTCTCAATGACACTATCCTACTCAGAATCTACAGTGACACTGTCTAGTACAGGGTATGTTTCGTTTTTTCACTTCGAGATGCCCTCACCTGTGTGATAGAACTTTCCAGAGAAGCCGAGGTTGAAGGTGAAATTGGGGACCAGCGTTCGCAGCTTGTTTTGAATTTTGAGCAAGGCCTGCAAATGAGGACATGACAGCTTAATAGGAATTACATTCACAATTGCAGTTAGCTTTAAAAACTATCATGTTGTTGACAAACAAAGGCCCAGTGCAGTCAAAAACATGATTTATCTGTGTTTCATATACATTTCCACACTATGAGGTTGGAACAATACTGTGAAATTCTGAAAGTGATGATAATACCCTTTTAGTGTAAGAGCTGTTTGAAAAGACTGCCTGAAATGTTTGCCTGTTTTGGTGGGATGGAGTTTGGCCTGCCCGGTGAGACCAATAAGAAAGAGAGTTCCAAACCTCTCTGCCAATAACAGCTAGTTTTCCATTTTTCCCTACCCCCTCAGACCACTCCCAGACAGTTCTTGCAAAATTCTTTCTTCAGAAATCGCTCTTTGCTAAGAATCTATTTTTATTTCTTTTTGACCACTTTAATTGAAAACAATCACAGTAAGGTACTTAATTGTTACCCAGAAATTATTTGATATTGAGACAAAAAACGGCTGCATTGGACATTTAACCACTAGATTGACTATATAACTCTTGGACATAACAAAATGCAGATGCATCATACAATTCCGAGTGGGAGGACATGGAATAAATCAAATACAAATATCTACTGTGCCCATAAAGGGTGAAAAAATATGCACGTTGGGGCTATTTTACAGATTGTAATGGGATTGCAAAGCAAAGCCGGAGCTCTGGAGTCCTGTTCAACAAATTCCCCAAACCATCACACTTTATCAGCTATATCAGATGACTACAGCAGCATCCTCACACAAATCACAGAATGGGGAAAGAGATAGCTGCTCTGCCTCCACATATCAACCCAGAGCTGCAGAGCTATGCACTTTACCGCCACTGTTCAAACCTCTGGGAGAGAGATAGCTGCTGTACCTGATAAGATCCAATCGCTGACTTATTAAAAGGGGTACTGATGTCCTTGAGCATGTGTGCAGTCACTGTTTGTTTTCCTTGCAGATTAGGATGAGTGTGTGTGAGTGTTTGTGCGGTCTGTGTGTGTGTGTGTGGCAATATGATCCATGTCTCAGTATTGGCTGCCTGACAGAGAGATAAGTCTCTCCACAGACATATCAAGAGAATTCATGTCTGATGACAAGCGGTGATCAGTAACTAAAGAGCAGTATCTGCTATCTTCTCTGTCTCCTCCAACACCACAGCAACTGCTCATCTTTCGAAAGGCCTTCAGTGTTACTGAGAAGAACATGGGGGACTGAGAGAGGCTAAACTAAACAGGGGGATGAGGTATGGGGCATTGTCCTGTGGTCACACAGACAGAACTTGGTGCCAACCTTGTAAAGACGAGTAGGGGTAAGGAGAGCTGGGGTAGGCAGAAAGGCAGACGGACAGAATGAGGGTGGGGTATAAGGGTTGGTCAGGGGGCACTTGTCAGTCAGTCTCCACGGCAACTGATCTCCACCCTCTGTGTGCTCTTCTATTTCTTCTTCAATTGCCTTATCAAATGAGGAGACAGCTATGCCTACAGATCATTGACCTCAATATGCTTGAATTGGTCTTTAGAAAAATCTAAAGACATTGTGAATTCCCCAGGCTGCCTTAAAAACCTCACCCTGCAGTGATGATCTGACTTAAGCCTCTGGGCATTGGCTGACCCTACCTTAGACTGTCAACAGGACTCCCACCTGGCCTGCATAACAGGAGGAGGATGAAAGGGGACATGGCCAAGGACAAACATCAGCAGCTGCCATTTACCATATTGGCAGAGATATAGAAATGCCTGTTTGAGATGCTAAGGTGAGAGAGTACCCATCCAACCAGAGTGAATATGGCAGCAATCCAAGGGCACTATATGTAAACTCAACCATCTAAAGCAAATAGAATATCGCTGACGTTACGTCGAAGGAGTCAACCATATCAAACGCACCATGAAAAAGTGAACAGGGGTATGCGTGTGTGTGGAAATTAGTTTTAGTGTTTAGGAGTCAGCGCAGTGCTGAGGCTGCACCCCAAGAGTGAGAATAGACAAGATTAGTGGTCCATTAAGGCGTCAGCATGCTTCAGTTCGGCTGGCAGCTAGCCGAAGTCGGCTAGGCGAACTGAACAAGTGTGCTCGCATACACCTTTAAAAGACATTCTCTTGAAAAACGAGAAAAAGCGGCAGTAGAACTGTTTGTCCATTTTGAGACGCCGTAGCCAGTATACACTTCCTCACAATAGTCAGAATGAATCTAAGATAACTCAAGAAATCTGTCATAAATGTGGACGTTTTTGCAGAGGAGATTTTAGTCGCGCAATTTCACATATAACTAGTTTGGTGCAGTATTTCTAAATAAAAAAATGTGAATGAAAACGAGTCGTCTCTCGTTGAATGACAACAAAGACTTTACTGAAGAATCCCTACTGTTGACCAATCACCGACAAAGGGGCGTAGATGTCGGCTACCGATTTCAGCTTGCCTCAAGAAAATGTCCAAAACGTCACCATAATATATGCACAATCTCTTCCGAACTATTTCGGCTGGGAAGCATGTGGACTCCTTTAGCCATGCCTTGTTTGTGCCCTGCTCCTCGTCTCACAACTGCTTGAGGTGATTAAAGCTGCTTTGTTGAACAGGAGGCCAGGTGGTAGTGGTAGGAAGGCAACACAGCAGTAATTAAAATATAGTCTGCATGGCAACAACCACAACGTTTTTACACCATGTCGGGGCAGGCGGAAGAAACCTGACCAAAACCAATGAGATTATCAACCCAATCTTAGGGAAAGTAACTGGTTTTTAAAATGCCATCTAGAAAACTGCTTTGGAAAACATCAAATGTTAATAGGATCAACATGGTTGGATCAACTCTCGAGTGGCGCAGTGGTCTAAGGCACTGCATCACAGTGCTAGCTGTGCCACTAGAGATCCTGGTTCGAATCCAGGCTCTGTCGTAGCCGGCCACGACCGGGAGACCCATGGGGCGGCGCACAATTGGCCCAGCGTCGTCCAGGGTAGGGGAGGGAATGGCCGGCAGGGATGTAGCTCAGTTGGTAGAGCATGGCGTTTGCAATGCCAGGGTTGTGGGTTCGATTCCCACGGGGGGCCAGTATGAAAATAAATAAATGTATGCACTCACTAACTGTAAGTCGCTCTGGATAAGAGTGTCTGCTAAATGACTTTACATTTAAAAAAATAATAATGGTTGGTAGCAATGAACTACATGTGAGTAACATGGTCCCTGAGGAGCCATACATGTTTAACATGCATTTTACACCCACTTGATGTGATTTAACTACAAATGACAATAGCTTAATACAGCACAAAATACACTATATATATATAATATAAAATATAATAATAATATGCCATTTAGCAGACGCTTTTATCCAAAGCGACTTACAGTCATGCGTGCATACATTTTTTTTTTTTGTGTATGGGTGGTCCCGGGGATCGAACCCACTACCTTGGCGTTACAAGCGCCGTGCTCTACCAGCTGAGCTACAGAGGACCACATATACACACAAGAGTATGTGGATTCGGCAATTTGAGTGGATTCGGCATGTGTATAAAATCGAGCACACAGCCATGCAATCTCCATAGACACACATTGGCAGTAGAATGGCCTTACTGAAGAGCTCAGTGACTTTCAACGTGGCACCATCATAGGATGCCACCTTTCCAACAAGTCATTCCGTCAAATTTCTGCCCTACTAGAGCTGTCCCATGAAGTGCTGTTATTGTGAAGTGGAAATGTCTAGGAGCAACAACGGCTCAGCAGAGAAGTGGTAGGCCACACAAGCTCACAGAACGGGACTGCCGAGTGCTGAAGCACGTAAAAACCGTCTGTCCTCGGTTGTAACACTCACTACCGAGTTCCAAACTGCCTCTGGAAGCAACGTCAGCACAAGAACTGTTCGTTGGGAGCTTCATGAAATAGGTTTCCATGGCCGAGCAGCCGCACACAAGCCTAAAATCACCATGCGCAATGCCAAGTGTCGGCTGGAGTGGTGTAAAGCTTGCCACCATTGGACTCTGGCGCAGTGGAAACTCGCCCTCTGGAGTGATGAATCATGCTTCACCATCTGGCAATCCGACGGACGAATCTGAGTTTGGTGGATGCCAGGAGAACGCTACCTGCCCCAATGCATAGTGACAACTGTAAAGTTTGGTGGAGGAGGAATAATGGTCTGGGGCTGTTTTCATGGTTCGGGCTAGGCCCCTTAGTTCCAGTGAAGGGAAATCTTAACGCTACAGCATACAATGACATTCTAGACAATTCTGTGCTTCCAACTTTGTGGCAACAGTTTGGGGAAGGCCCTTTCCTGTTTCAACATGACAATGCCCCAAAGCGAGGTCCATACAGAAATGGTTTGTCGAGATCATTGTGGAAGAACTTGACTGGCCTGTACAGAGCCCTGACCTCAACCCCTTTGAACACCTTTGGGATTAATTGGAATGCCGACTGCGAGCCAGGCCTAATCACCCAACATCAGTGCCCGACCTCACTAATTATCTTGTGTTCCAACATCTAGTGGAAAGCCTTCCCAGAAGAGTGGAGGCTGTTATAGCAGCAAAGGGGGGGGTACCAACTCCATATTAATGCTAATCATTTTGGAATGATATGTTCGACAAGCAGGTGTCCACATACCTTTGGTCATGTAGTGTAACTGTCCGGATCAATATACTGTGGTGGAAACGTTATTTGGAAAGTCAGCACATACATTTCAGCATCTTTAACATATTAGAAAGTAGTAAGTGGTTCCATTGACTTGATGCTCGAGAGACCAAGTTGGCCAATTCCTTTCAGAGAGGACCACTTCTGTTCAGAGATTGAGGTGAGCAAAGTCAATGGGCCATTCTTCCGACTATACTCCCTTGGCTGTTCTATCCTGCGCTCCACAATTAATCCATTTATACCCGTAATGTAATGTTGTTTTCGCCGTTTAGCGATGGCCTCAAGACCATGCATGTACCTGACTCGGCTGCCTAAGACGTAAATGGTCTATTACTTATACAATTTCCACAGGAGCAATTAAGCAGAAATGTCTAATCGGTGGTGTGATAACTAAACACTGCGGCGGTGCCAACAGTACATTTCTCCTTCCTACCTTATTTATGCAACTGCCTGGTACCAACCTTGTCAGGTTGAGTTGATGACAGGCTCATTAACTCGTGGTTGGCCTGCACCTCCCCCTGCCACCCCCCTCCCACTCGTGGGGAAGGAGACACACTGAGTGAGCAGGTCCCTTTTTGCTGAAGCGACAAGTTTGCCCCCTTGTACCATCCCCCATCACTCTCTAAACTGCATTCCTGTTATCAATGCTAAAGCCTAATTAATACTCCTATTATTTCCCATTAATTGTGTTAATTTAGTTTGATGCATTTGGCAGAGTGGCTCTCCAGGCAACGTGGCTCGCTTTTCTGCATTGCAAACTGCTGACATGGGTTAAATGTGTTCAACAGCTATATAGAGCGGTGAGAAAACCCATTAAGAGAGCTGTAATGTACTGGAGACTCTCACACATCTGTTTTTGTCACTTCAAATAAGGTTTTGTTTAAGACTGGAAAAGGCTTAACGTCGTCCAGTGGTGGTTTTCTCAAAGTGAAGTGAACACATGTAAATCAGGCCTATTAGACACAGTAGCATGCTAACAACCAGATAAAATACTTAAGAGACTAATGGCAGAAGAGAGAGATCCTGTTGCGATTCATCCTAATAAATGCTAGCCTTTATTAGGCCTTGCCTTAGAAGCAAGTCACACCTTATGGAGAATCGCATTGGAAATCAATATCTTCAACCCTGTGTCCCATGGTGCAAGGGGTAGGAAAGAAGCACTTCCTTAAAATCATCAAAGGATGCTTTAACAGAAACATATATACTAGTTAAGGTAACAGACTGACATAATGTTCCTTTTTGGAATATTCTGTGTTTCTGCATAATTAATAATACATCTTTACACAATATTAATTACCACTGACAGTGAACCTAGGCAAATGAATTGAGCCTCACATACATGCCTACTGTGAGAGGGAGTGTGTGAGAGAAAAAAAGACAGAGTGAACCCACCTCTACGTCGGTCACCTTCATGCGGGTGCCCTCCTTGCCCACGAATATGTCATCCACGTCCACCAGCAGGTGGCGATCCAGCGAGAGGCAGAGCCGCTTGCCCGTCAGGTAGGCGATGGCGTCCACAAACACCAGCTTGTGCAGCCAGTAGGACAGGTTGTTTCCAAACAGGACTCTCTGGATGCCGTCGTGGAGCCCCAGGTCCTGGACCACAGTGGCGTGCATAGCCCTGAGCGGCCCCAGGTGGGCCAGAGTGTCAGAGGACTTGGTACCGGCCAGGAGGACAGGCTCGTAGGTGGAGTGGTTGGATTGGAACACGGTCCAGTCGTCCCCGGGCAGGGGGCCCTGCTCCACTTCATTAGGTCTGGTGATGTAGAGCAGTGGGGCGTTGGGGTTGATGCGGTAGTCCCTCAGGCCCAGGTGGGAGTGCAGGAAGAGAGGGAAGCCCTTGAGCTGGGCGCTGAGCAGCGAGTTCTCGTTGGCCTTGAAGAAGCCGATGATGCCTACACTGTACTCCACGCAGTACTTGTCCAGCAGGTCACGGTTCCAGGCATCCAGGTTGACGTACTTCAGCAAGTTCTCGTAGATAACGAGGGCGTAGCGGCCACGGTTGCGCTCCGTCAGCGTGGGCATGTCTCCCTTCCCCGGGGCGATCTCAGTGCGGTAGCGGAAGCGGCTGGACTCCAGGATGGCCACGATCTCCTGGCCCAGCTGAGAGTAGATGCTCTCCACAAAAACCAGCACCACCGGGTCCGTACGAGAGTTGTCCATGGCCTTCACCTGGCGCAGTCGACCCGAGCGAGGCAGGAAGAGGGGCGCCCGTTGCCCCCCTCCCCCTCCCACAGCCACCGGCACCCCCCCGCAGTCACTGAAGGGCAGCGGGGGGGCCTCCTTGATCTTGGGGCTGTTGCTGACGTAGTAGGCCAGGAAGGCCATGGAGAGGAGGCAGAAGACGATGAGCACAAGGATGAGGCGATGGAGCTCCAGTTGCCTGACGCCCCGCACCAGCTTCCACAGGCTGGCCACCATGACCGCAGCACAACAGGGCAGGCGCAGAGCAGAAGGCAGCGCCGGGGACGAACAGCACCGGGGCACAGCAGTGGGCAGGGACACAAGAGGAGGAAGAGGAGGAGGGGGAGGGTTGAGCAGCAGACACTGGCACCAAGCTGTGCTGAGGAATAGCCATTTACACTAGGTCAGCATGGCCCCCATAGCCCATGACTCTCCGTCTGTGGCCCTGCTCGTCTCTCCACCTCTCTGGATGCAGGACGCGCTGCCTGACTGGCTGGCTGCTCTGACTCAGTCTGCGCTGGACTTAGGGCTCCCTCTACCTCTGCACTCTCCTCCCTCTCTCTCTCACTCGTTTTCTTTCTCTGGCTCCCAGGCTCGCCCGTCCTCAGCTCTCAGCTCTGCTACCTAAGAGGATTGGGTTTCTCTCTCTGTGTGTTCCTCACACACACCTCCTCCGCTCCCCTCCTCTCCTCTCGGCGGATCAGCAGTTCTCTCCTCTCTCCTTTCTCCGTTACTGAACACCACACCACTCCATTGTACACACGTAAACACGACCGTTATCAGGAGATGCTGGTTGTATCTCGACCCTATCGTGGGTGTGTGGCTCCTGCTCTCAGGTTGTGTGTGTGCGTGGCTGCACTGCTGTGCATGTGCGTTGGGTTCACCAGCTTCTCGGCTGGGGGTTGGCGGGGCTGGGGCTCAGCCCTGAGCACTGCCCCCTGTGGAGGCTCAACCTGCTCATCTTGGGGGCGGCAGAGGGGAACAAGCCTGAATGAGATGCAGAAAGAGAGAAAGGGAGGGAGAGAGTAGGGTTAGTGCACGTCAGATCACACCATGTTCTCATATCCAAAATGTGTCCTCAGGATAATGTCTTTCTCATGACAACGCAAAACAGAAATAGAAGGAAAAGTGGTGAAGCAGGGCAAACAAAGACAGCAATTCAATTAAAAGTACAAATAATAAATGTTAACTTGACATTGATATACAATAATAATTTGTTTGCACTTTGAAAAACTGCTCAGCTAACAGCATCATAAATCAAAGGCAGCTGTAAAACCTTGAGGGTGAAACGTCCTGTCGGACTTTGAGTTGTTCCCTGTGGGTACACAACGTCTTTGTGCCGACAGTGGCCCAAAACCCTACGTCTTCAGAGAACGAGTCGGAACACAACCATGAGGCAGGGTCAGCTGACTGATCATCTGATTTTATGATGCTTCCATATGGCTTAAAGATTGCAGCCTTATGGTTTTTCCATCAGGTCCCCTCCCCCAACTCAAAACCAGGCCCTGTGTCATGAGCACTTTTTCTCATGGATCCCAAAATAGCCACGCCAGAACCTCCCCGCACTCTCTTCCTCCACAAAGATAGCGTTACAGGTGTGAAAGGAAAACTCTGACCTTAAACGTGAATGTTTATATGGCTGTGTGGGTGGGTGGCTGGGGGTGTTCACAATCTCAAATGTGGGCCAATGCTGCAGAGCACAAGATTTTGTTTACGATTGCAGCCAGTCACACACAGACACAGGCAGGGAGCACAGTGGTAGCTCCGGAGGGAGGGGTCAGGGAACTCAATGCCGTGAGAGCCGCTCACTGTCAGTGCGTTAGTAAACTGGGAAATATCTCCAGAACAACACCTGCCTTACATGGGAGCCACTGGAGAATTAAGGCATTCCACCTGCAGTGGGCTGGGTTGATTCCACTGAGCCCTATGGGACCGGACCAGGTCACGAGACTAGCTCACGTAAATCCATACAGCAGCAGTGAAACAGTGTCTCAGTCCCTGTAGACTGGCTGGATCATTCATCACTGTGGGGAAACTGGAGGAGGCCAACATGGTGCTACAGTGCAAATACAAATATGTGGTTAACTGCAAAGAGAAAAACAAGCAGCCCATATCAGTTCGTTATAAAAAAACAGACACATCGAGTCCGAAGCCAAGACAGACGCTCACAGCCCTGCATTATAAACAGGATGCTGCAATCTATCAAAGTTTCCCTGACATGATCAATGTCAACCACCACGCTACATTCCCTGGGCAAGCACTTAAAGGATCATTTTTCCCTCAGAAGTACTAACTAAGCCTCTGCTTTAACAAAGGCACCTTGACCGAGAGAAACAGAGACGGAGTAAAACACAGAGGGAGAAGAACACACAGACAGAGAGAGAGATCCAGAATGGACAATGAGGAGTGACAAAGAAAAAGATAAGCAAGAACTTTAGGAAGGAGAGAGAAAGATCCTGACCGAGACCCTCTGACCATGATGTAACAAGAGGAGCCCTTATGGTGCTTCCGCTCTGAAACCCCCCACAACCCCCAACCCTCTACCCCCCACACAGAACCTCTGAAAGACGTGGCGCCCTGGAGCGGACCTCCCTCCCTCAACGCAGACCCAATCCATCACCCTCAGTGTGAACGGGGGGAACGGAGCGCATCCTGAAACAGGAACCTGCTCTATTCTTAGCCTGAGAACAGCCTCACCTCGCTGACCACTTCCACTCCAACAGGGGGGCTGCAGGGAGACAAATCACAACAACACAGGATACTCCTCCCACAGGGACACAGAGGCTGGGTGGATGGGTGAGGAGGAGGCACAGGGTTGGGCGGGCTAATGAAGGAAAGATGGGTCAGTGTCACCTTGTCCTCTGAAGTTAAGTTTTGTTACTACTGCTCTCTGTAGAGAAGTGGTGGTCATACCTGGAAAAGTTTCATAACAACTAGGCTAAGGCTCTGACTGAGACTGGGGGGGTAAACAGAGGTATATAACAGGTGGTAGGTTTGAGGTGGTGTTAATATAGGAGGAAGCAGAGAGGTCTCACCTGAAAACTGGTGTGTGTGTCTAATCTGACGAGGTCGGTCAGGCAGGGAGACCTGTGAGGGAGAGAGAGAAAGAGAATATGTGAATGCAGTGCTGAGATTTTCCCATCTAAAGAGTGGATGTTCAGTGCATCTTCTATTTACATAGAGCCCAGTCATCCTCCCAGCCACACAGACTAGCCTTTGGGTAAGAGAGAGAAAAACAGAAAGAGACCGAGCGTTTGACCCTGAACACAACCCTGAGTCCCACAGGGCTACCAGTGAATCTGACAGATTTTACAGCTGACATTTAAGACAGAAACCGGCCCCAAAAGCAGGGCCAGGACGGTTTAGCCCAACGATGTGGGGGAGAGGAGATAGGGAGTCAGCTGGTCACTGACCATTTCACACCAAGGCCGAACTGATTCATTGAGCTTCCTGCTCCTCTCCTCCTTGTATAATAGTTTATAGAGGCCGCTCCTCTCCAGCTGCCTCCTGTCAGTAGTCAGTAGTAGTGGCCCTGGGGCTATCGCCCTGAGCAGCTTATATAAAGCCTAAATGCTGGGGCTGCTGAGTATTGGAGGAGAAGGCTTGAACCACATTAGGCCCTCCTCCTCACCCCGGGCTAGTCTGGCTCACACTTGGGAGGGAGGACTAAACTACAGAGAGAAGGAGAGACTCCGACTACTAATCCCACAGACCCCCACCCCAGACCCCCACCCTGCTGCAGACTGGATCAGCGACACACACAGGGCTGTAGGTGGGAGCTGGGGAGGTATGTGGGGGGTTCTCGCTCAAAGGTGTGTGCATGTGTGTGTGTGAAAGAGATATAAAGTGCGCAAGACAGTATATTGGGCATCAAAAACAAACAATTGAACAAGCTCATCCTGAAGGAGCGCCGATCTGGAACATCAAGAATGGCATGCAGATAAAGAGTGGAAATGAGGGGACTGACGACCTCTATCACAGGACCAGATGGGTTCCTGGGTTGGAAAGTCCCTGATAACACTTCAATCACACAGAGCATTACATACCAAACGAGCCATATGCCGGACAGATGCCCTGTTATTAATTTGTTCGTTTTAAATTATTTACGTATTTTCTTTACTCTATACTCTGAAGAGTGCAGCCATGTGTTTTTAGATGAGGAGAGATAACACAGGGAAGCAGAGGGCAAAGGGAATGACAGATCTGACGATAACAGAGGTTATTAGATGTAGAGAGGGTTTAAGAATGCTGCAAGATTGTATAATAACGAATAGGGCTCCAGCTTACGCAAGCACACACACCATTGATTGACAACCCCAGCTGTGTTGTTCAGCGATGGCAGTCCTACACCTGGGTCTGCTCTTACGAGCGTCTCTATTAAGGACCAGCATGCATCCTGTCCACACTACTCGACTGGCCCCTGACCTGAGGCTACGGTATACCAGAGGGCCTGGTGGGAGACTGCTGTTTCTACTGATGCCTCACATTCCACCCACATTCTACAGCTCCATCCAGGCAAGCTGATGAGGAGTTGACCTAAGACACAGGTCTAGGATCAGATTACCCTACCCCAATCATATCTTTAACCATTAGGGGGGAAACGCAATACTTACATCATTGTCTAGTGGCAAAAAACTTCATCCTACAATGTCAGTACATGCAATGTACTGACTATCATCCCACCAGCAGGGGGAGATAGGCCCACAGTAACACAGTGACTGGGCTCCTTTGAAGGCAACAGGAGAGAGGGGCAGGGGATTGTTGCTGTGGCCCCAGGGGTGGCTTATTTATTCACCCACAGGTGTGCTGCCTCATGGTCAGTCTAACCTATGACTTATCCATCCAACACTTACAAAGAGCCTGACTGGAGGGTAGAGAAAGAAGCTCTGATAAATGGGGTCAGAAAAGCGAAGCCTCAAACTGCATTATGTGAGGGCCAATGGCAAGACTGAGTGCAATAGACTTAAAACGTTGCTCTTGGAGATCCAGGTTTGACAATTAAATACTTTAAGTGGAGGTTACCATTCATTTTTATCTCCATCCTAAATAACGCATAGGGTCCATAGATTAGGGTACATGGCTGGCCTGAATTGGATCGAATTAATTGAGAGAAACTGTATATGAGTGTGTAATTCACCCAGCTTGAAGGATGGATCCAGAAGCCTGTTGCGTTGATCAGATGCGTGTCCATCTACTGGAATATCAAGAGGGGCGAGAACCACTGTGTTTTCTCTCTGAACCAAAAAGCAGACGGAACAAAGGGAAGAAAGGAAAACATGAAGTCCTCCCCCTCTTCAACCCTCCTCCGTTCGGACCCCGGGGTCACGCACCCAAAAACCCAATCAGAGGAATGCTGACCATCAAATTCTGGGAGGCAATGCCCTCCCTCCCTCCCTCCC